GGGGTCGGGGCATGAGAGGGTCGAGGGCCTTCGAGGTTTGGGGGGCCTGTCTCGAAGGAAGGCCCCCAGGTTTGGGGGGCCTTTCTGCGAGCATCGATGGTCTTCGAGGTTTGGGGGGCCTTTCTTCGAGGGTCGAGGGTCTTCGAGATTTTGGGGGGCCCTTCTCGAAGAGAGTTTCCTCGAGGGTCGAGGTCCTCGAGGTCTCGAGGGTTTCGAGGTCTTCGGGGGGCCGAGGTCTGGCCTGCGAGCGTCGAGGGTTTCGAGCGTCTTCCAGGGCACCTCCCAAGGTTTTCGAGCGTTGTCGAGGTTTCGAGGTTTTCGAGCGCCGCGATGGTCGAGCGTCTTCGTGCGGTGTTCGAGCGCTTTCGAGGTTTTCGAGCGACGCCAAGGTCGATGACCGAGGCTCTGCAGCATGCGTCGCAGCCCAGTCCAGGGCGGCATCGCGGGGCCGCGAAGATAGCCGCGCAGCTCGGGGGGCGATGCGCGAAATTGGGCGACAGTAGACTATCAGAGGAGGAAAAGACCCGACACCGCCACTCGTCCTGGAGGACCCTCGCCGCCACGGCTGGAAATTTTTACACAAAGCTGAACAACGCCAGCGCAAATGGGTTAACAACCCACAGATACGTCTCCGGGCTGCTTCAGCAGGCTGTACGTGTGCAAATTCACAACCGGGGACCGTCCCTTCCTGGAAACCTGACAGCGCCACGGCACAGCCGCCGGCGCGTCATGAGCCATATTTTCAGTATCTGGAACCATTCAAGCTCCGATTCATTGAGTGGCTGAAGTTCAAGCATGGGGAAATGCCCCAACCGCTGCACAATGGTGGCCGTTAATCTGGACGCCAGATTTGGACCAATACGCTCGTCCGTTAAGATGCTCTGCCCTTGCTGTTTTCGATTGGAATCATGCTAGTGCTAGTGCTGAGCAAATTCGCCCAGAGACGGGCTGGGACCAATGGGAACAAGAAATGGCGGAAAAAAGGAGTAATAGTTCTATCGGATCAAGTGTTAACGGATAGCTTGAACGAAGCCACCCGGGTTTCCGTATCGAAAAAAATGGAGATATAGATTTTTGGGTTATTGTTGAACTCCATTTTCGGCCCAGCCGCATTGATGAAGCGATATCAGCCCGTGAAGAGAAAGTTGCGATGTCGGATGGCGTATGCAATCAACACATTGCCCAGCGTCATCACTGATTATCCCGATGTGAACGCTGCCGTGTTGGTTTGATGTGATTTCTATGTTTAGCTCCATGTCTAGTACAGAACACCATGCTGACTCATATGATAGGCCAGGAATTATCAAAGTTGCGACGCAATTCGTTCTTGAATATTTATCGTCATCCCCGACTACGATGCCATTAGACACTGAAGTGATTCATGATGTGCCGCTTGAGTTGTCCGAGCTCGTGAATAATATATGGAACCAACCAGTTGGCTGAATCCCCACTCGCGGGACATGGGGACGGATACTGCGTAATCTTATTATTCATGTCTGCGGGAATCACTGTTGCATTTCCGGGATACGAAGTACAGCGCGACACAAACTATACGAATGCAGGTTTTGAAGCTATGCGCGATGTTCATGCTTTGGATTGTCGAATCAGATCCGCTGTTGAATTATTCGACCTACTTCGCGAATGGACCAAAAGGATTGGGAAAAGAAGTATCAGAGACCGCCAAACATAATTGCTTAAGTGTCCAAGAAGTTGTTGTTCTCATGTATACGTCTACGGAACGTCACTTTAGTGTCGAGATCTGTGTTGCCAACAGCCGTGTTGAATTCTTCAGCACAGACAATGCCATTGGAAGTACCAGTTGCCTGAAGAAGAAAAGGAGGAGAGCGGCCCAGCCGAGTCTCCCACAGTACGATCCCAGCTGAGTCTCCAGCAGATGCTGCAATCATGATAGCTGAAGAGGACACCCCGAGCGGCACCGCCGCTTCGGGGTTGCGAGCTCAGCGGTATTCTCAGCATCGGGACCGAGGTATCGGGAAGGGAGGCAATCCCATAGGACCGCTCCTTATGCTCCCGTGCCCGCCGGCCCAGCCTCGTCGAGCACCAATTCTGGCTGGGTTAACTATGATAGGGTCCAGTCTTGGGCAGATGAGTCCATTGTAGAGTCGGGCGGCCGCGCGAGCGATGGCGCGGCCCCCGGCCGGCCATGGGCGGCGGCTACGACGCGACGACCGACCATGCGGACAAGAATGAAAACGGGGAACTTCAAGGGTACTACGTACATGTATCTCGTCACCAGAATGTCACTGGTCATACAAAACCTGGCATTGGTTTATTTTGAATGACTACAGCGATAAGTTCAAACGTGATTCTGGGATGCCGAGTACCTTACCAGAGCCTCCGCCGCCGCCTACGCCGAAGGCGAAGCCGCCTGAGAAGGGCCAGGGCAAGAGTCAGCCAAACAGCTGGAGCTCGAGCAGAAGAGAAGATATATAGATATATGACAGTTATTCAAGAGATCAGTACCAGTGGAACTGGAGCAACAGAGACACGTGGGATGACTCCCGAGAATGGACAAATGAATGGTAGAGATGATGCAATACAAAAGGACCAGTACGACGTCGTCGGTGCCGGTCCACAGTTCATCATGAAGTGGGTGCACCAGATGTGCATGGGCATTGAGGCCTGAGCTGGGAAATTTTAGCTCAGGCGGGGTAGGTCGGGTTACTTCGGTCTTCCGCCCCCTGGCAACCACCACTGAACGGCAAAATGCCTTTGGGGTTCGCTCCGGTGGCTGTACATATGTACAGGCCAGGTGGGTTGGGGGTCGGGGCGACTCTACGGACCCCGCCGCGGGGGGAGTCAACGCAGTCCTTCCGCAGCACCATCCTCTTGCCCATCTTGCTCCTTAACCTTGCATGCGCTGTCTGCTGTAATGACTGCTTCTCTCCTGCAGTTTCGCTTTGGCTCTAGGGAAACGGAAAAAGGAGCGAGCCTGCGGCGCGCGCGCGTCGGCCGGCGGGCCAGCCTCCTCCCTTCAGTGTTACTCTAGTGTATGTTTGACGGCATTATCCTTTCTCCCCCATGTCATCGGCGAAGCCCACTGACCACGATATATCAACAGAACATCTTGCAGGGATTATGAATATTCAGGCAAGTCTTCTCCTCCGCCTCTCCTTTTTTTACGTTCGACCGACTTGAGCAGAACTGCTGCTCCTCCTCGTCCTCCTCCTCCTCCTCCTCCAGCCATCCCCCTCTGCCGCCTGCTCCCTCCCCTGCTACCCCCCCCCTCCTCCCCAGACAGGGCCGCCTATGATTCGGGTCGATGCCACTCGATTCGCCGGCTGTGGCCGCGATGCGGATTGGATTCGGTCCGGCGCGTCTCACCAGCGTCGGCCGGGGCCAGCCAGA